GAACCAGCTATATGACCTTCAAACTAATTTTGAATTTTGTCTAGAAAGTATAGCGTCCCACACAAAACTGTAAGCTTTGTTTGAGAGCTGCCAACAGCTCTGTACTCGCAAGACTATTCAATATTGTTTCGTACAACTTTGTGCCCTATGTGCTTGCAAGCAAAAGAAACCATCGATCATGCATTATAAATAGAGTTCGCTAAGTTTGGAATGTGTTTTTGTAAAGAACCTTGGGATACACCACCCCAAAAGCTAGCTCAAAGGGTGAGAGTGTCCAAGATTTTATAAACTTCACATTAGTTGCACATACAACCAATGTGAGACTATATATCTCAACACGCCCCCTCACACGAGAGCCCATTGGGCTTGAAGAGTGGACAATGCAACAGGCCCAGCCTACCTGTGCTAAGAAACGCCACAAGAGAAAGTGAAGGGCGGCGAGGCTCTGATACCATGTTAAGAACCTTGAGGTCACCACCCCAAAAGCTAGCTCAAAGGGTGGGAGTGCCCAAGACCATATAAACTCCACATTAGTTGCACATACAACCAATGTGGGACTATATATCTCAACACTTTTGGACTATATATATAAGGGCATGATATTCTTACACCGGTGTAAGAGTTAGAAGTCTTACACTCAATCTTGACCATTGATTCACTTGTATCCAATGGCTCACATTACTAAAAAATTAGAGCCCTTAGATATAAGTGGAATCAACGGATAAGATTGAGAGTGTAACTTACACTAGTATAAAATGATCCTGACCCATATATATATATATATATATATATATATATATATATATATATATATATGGGTTTAGTGAGTGTACACTGACTGGATACAAAATTCGGTCCAGTGCACTAAGTTCTCTCGCGAGAACACAGTTATAGTAAATATTATAACAATGCTCTCCCGGCAGAACACTGAGAGAACACCATTATAATATTTAGTGCACTAAGTTCTCACGGGAGAACTTAGTGCACTCGACGATCCAGTGACTGAATTTTTAATTTTTCATATATATATAGATATATATATATGGAAAAATCATTTCTGCAGCAGCTTTACGTACAACAACGACAGATGTATGGTTATGAATCCCCACATTTAATGTTTTTATCCTTTGTATGGTTATGATTCCCCGCATTTAATGCTTTTAAGTATATATATGACAAGTACATGATTGTTGCACGTACAGCAGCTGCAGAAATGTAAACCCCTATATATATATATGGATTTGATTTTCTCATATTGCATAAGAATTGAATTCTCATGTTGTGACTCAACTAATGGTGGGCCCCATATTTAATAAAAAAAAAACTTTGCACGCAAATCGAAACGTTTTACAATTAGTAAACTAGATTTCTTGTCATAACCTTCATTTTTTACGAAAATGGATCTATTTAAATCATGTCCGTAAGCGATTCCATAAATATACTCCCAAATCCAATATAGCATCTATAGGTACATAAGAAATGTATTAAATCGATTGATTAAAAAGAATCGATTCGATCGCAACTTCGAATATGGAATTCAAAGATATCAAATAGGAAATGGGAAATCGTCTGCCCTGCTCGAGTATATGCTTCAACAGGAATCACACAGGGGTAGATTAGAAACCTCTCTCTTTCCGTTTCCGTTGAGGATTTGGTAATTTTTCTTTTTGAAATTACCAAGATTTGTTTGATTTTTTTGAATTTACTAGTTAGTGAAATATGTAAAATAGAAAACATATTCAAAATAAATACTTAAAAATTCAAAACATGAGAAAATGTTTTTCCATATATATATATATATATATATATATATATATATATATATATATATATATATAAGAGAAATAGTAATATCATATTGTAAGAGACTACTATCTTATGCCATAGACACTTCGATAATTGTGCTGCTATTTTCTCCCTTTTTTTAGTGGTGGGCCCCACCACTTTGTATCTTAACATAATATATACTCTCTCCTATAACATGAGAGTAGACAAACCCTATATATATATATATATATATATATATATATATATATATATATATATAGTTATTAATCTTATGTTGCTTGAGATAGTTTTCTCATGTGTGTGAGATAAATATGTAGGGTCCACACTTTAAAACAAAAGGGGAAAAATGGAAAAAGTTGGCACAAAATTCGATTAGTGTATAAAGTGAGATAGCTATCTCCAACGAAATGAGAAAAATATTTCCCATATATATGAGGTAGGATCCTTTGACACCAGTGTCAAATTTCAAATTTGAGACCTCATCTGAGAGCCGTTAGATCAAAAAAGATCAACGACTCTAATTTGTAAGCATGTGACACCATTGATCTTTTTTGATTTAACGGCTATTAGATGATGTGTGAAATTTAAAATTTGATACCAGTATCAAAGGATCCTACCTATATACATATACATATATATATATTTGGAATATCTTATTTTTATCTTTGTTTTTCCTTAAAAGCAGAAGTTTAATTGAATATAATTTGACTTTAATGTTTCTAAAGTGAATGCAGATAAATTATCTACATTCGCTCCCAAAACGACATAGTTTTGGGTTGAAAGATTAAAAAATTATAATAAAAAAGACTATAATAACCCTGAAATAAATTATAATTACAAAAATACTTTGATTTTCGTCTCAAAACGACGTCGTTTTGGGCTCGCTGTAGATAAGTTATCTACATTGACTGTAGAAAAAGCAAACCCATATAATTTTATGTAAAACTGTATTATAAAAAAAATTTTACAATGAAGAAAAAAGTTAAAAGCTTATAGGAAGAGTTTTTTTTTAATATATATGTAGCTTTTTGGAGTCCTTATATTTATTTTATTGTTTTATCCTTCTTATAAACTTGTATTTATAAATTTCATCCCTTACCCTAATAATTTATTTCAATAACAAATTATTTTATTCTTCCACCTTCAAAACAACAAATAGCTTTATATAATCACCAAATAGCTTTTAACTTTATTTTATAAGATTTTTTTTTCACTTTAATTAAAAGTAATTTTTTTTATAAAAAAAATTGTGTCAAATAGGCTCTAATCCAGTTTACTAACCATCCTAGGATCGTATAAACGGGCCGGACTGGGTTGGCGTAATTTTGATTGGGTTTGCAATATTACTGACGTTGGCCTAAACCTGTTAACTCGTGAATTTTTTTTTTTCTCTTTTGAATTCCCCAAACTGCTTCCACAAACGGGATGCATGGGCCACTTTTAACTTCTATTAGGTTGGAATTTAACTTTTCCTTTCCTAGAGGGCACATTTTTCAAAATCGTATAATTTTATGAAAATTTATGAATATAATACAGTTTAAAAATCATTTATCAAAATAATATAATTTAACTACTTTTGACGTTTACATGGAACCTAGTCAAAAATATCAAATCAAACCAAACATAACTTTAAAGCTATATATATATATATATATATATATATATATAGTTATGTTTATCTCATTTTACATGAGATAAACAACTTTTCTACACACACAAAAATAGATTGGGTCCCACTACTCTTTTTTTTCTCTCCTCTTACTTGTGGATTCCACTTATACTTTTATTTCTACAACATGAGGTAATTTTTTTCCTACAACATAAGAAAAATATATTCCATATATTTATATATATATAGGGCTTAATATTTCTGCAGTTGCCGTAGATAGTGTTATCTACAGCTGAAACAAAAAAGTGGGCCCCACGACTTTTTAAAAAAAAAAAAAACTCAGGATCCGGACGCGGATCTTTGCTTGCTGTAGGTACAGCAGTTGCAGAAATCATTTTGCCTATATATATATATATATATATATATATATATATATATATATATATATATATATAGAGGTAGGATCCTTTGACACCGGTGTCAAAGTTCAAATTTGATACCTCATCTGATAGCCGTTAGATCAAAAAAGATCAACGACTCTGATACAAACATGTGATACCATTGATATTTTTTGATCTAACGGCTATCAGATGAGGTGTCAAATTTCAAATTTGATACCGGTGTCAAATGATTCTATCTCATATAATATATATATTTTAAATTACTACTTTGATTCCTTCCTAAAGCTTTACAAACGTGGGCCCCAAGCACCCTAACTTTCAATTGTCGAAGGTTAGTAGCGTAGGGTCCAGCAACTTTACTATTTTTCATCTTCTACTGCTTCTTCGTGCGTTAAGAGAGTTGCAGCAAATCATTTTGTTACTTTCCTGTTATTTATCACAAAATTTCACTATCATCTCATCTTAAAGAAAATAATTAATAATGTCATGAAATTATTTAAATTATTTGCATTAAAATATAATACTGCTTACTTTTTATTAAAAATATTAATATTATTTATTATTAGCTGTGATTAATCCTTGTGCCTGTTTGACAGGTTTTTATAAAACTTTTTTTATGAGGAAGAGAAAAGTCAAAAGCTAAAAATTCTTAGGAAGAGTTTTTTTTAAGTTGTATCAGCTTTTTTTGAAATGTGTATTTTTTTTTTAAAATAAACAACTTTTAAGCTAAAATTTTAATAATCATTAAATAACTTATAACTTTATTTTTAATTTTTGTTTTTTAAAATTATGTCAAACATGCTCCTTATCTAAATTCAACAGTCTTCTGCCAAACTAACGAAGCTCAACCCGTTTAGGCGTTTACAATGAAGTAAGCAATTCTCAACTGTTTTTTTTTTTTTAATCATTTAAAATATCCCAAGACTTGTAACTGATGGAAATGTTTTATAGCTGGAATATTCCAAATCATAAAAAGCTCTGAAATTGACCAAAAAAAATAAAAGAGGTACATTAAATTTGATGTAACTGTTCGACTCCCCAATATACACTTAATAAAAGCCCCTCCAACATTTATTTACATTTGACTGTGCCCAATGCTTCTTTTTCTAAGATTCAGCATTGAAAGAAAACGAAGAACTACACAAAGAAACAAAATATTAAACACGACCATATACATTCTAATAATAATGTCCACACTCACTTCAATGCGGGAAACGACAGAAGCCGCCTCCGCCAAGAGTGAGTTCCAAATCCAGCTCCACTTCAGCATCACCCTCACCCATTCGGTTTTGGTTCATCAACGAAGCCTCCACTGTTTCATCGCTCCCACTACTCACACATCCTCCCCCTTTGTTTCCCGGCTCATCATTAGAAACCGGTTTCCACAGCGCGGACGAGTCGACTGAGCCCACTCTCGCTTTGGGCCTGATCACATTCCCGGTCCTCTTGAACCGGGCCCTTCCTTTCAATTGGTCCATGTCAGTGTCTCTGGACACGTGGCGTATACCACGGGCTTGGAGAACATGCTCACTGCCACGTGTCCCCGTCAGCTGCCAAACAGAAGGTTCCATGACATTGATCTCGGATCCAATCAGCACAGCATCAACAGCAGCTTGGCATCGGGCCCACTCACCGGTCCAGAACAAACCCAGTGACCCATAAGCCGGGTTCGCAATTCTCCCACATGCCTCGTACATCAGCGACTTAAACACAGCTGAAAATTTTCAATCTTTATTAATTCCTTTGACCAATTAATAAAAGGGTAAAAAATGGATTAATTAATTCAATTGTTAAAAATTGTAACGTAAGATTGAATCTGCCATTGTCAGGGTCAAAAAAGAATTTAGTATAAAGAGAGAAGCATTTTCCAATGTGTTTCTAGTTCAAGTATTTTCACTTAATAGAACTTCAATTAGAAAAAAAAAATTATATCTGATTATGTAATTTAAATAATAATATTGTAATAATTGAAGTCATAGAGGGGATCAAATTCAAATTTTCAATTCCAGTAAATGAATTTCTAAAATGATAAAATTAAAAAAAAAAAAGAGAGAGAGTAAATGTAGTTATAGGTATATGGGGATGATGACCTGGGCGAAAGTGTGGTGGAGCAGCATTGATGAGGTTGAGCAAGCCAACGCGACCATAGAATTTGGCAAGGAAGAGGGTGGCGTTGGCTTGGGACTCAGGAGAGTTGATCCACTCAAGGCAGGGCCTGATGGTGCAGTCATCGCTGCAACCTTTGCGGAGAATGCGACACCCATTGCAGCTAAGTCTCATGGTGGCTTTGTATGGAGGAGTGGTGGGTGTTGGGGAGAGAGAGTTTTTATAAGCACATGAAGATGGTAATAAAATGTGGGTTTGGTCATTGATATAGTGGTTTTGCAAAGTAGTGGGCTTTTTCTTGTTTTTGGAGGAGAAGGTTGTTTTGGCTGTATTTGGGGTTTGATGATTGCCCTGCATGCAGAGATGAATTACAAGTTGAACCATGATGTCGGGATTTCGTGGTTGGTGATCAGAGGAGTGAGGGCAGAGAGGTAAAATGTGGGGCTTGGTTAAGAAAGCTTATAAGGGAAGAAATAGTGTTATTGGAAGAAATGCAAAAATGGACATGGATGAGGTGGAGGGAGGCGTTTCTATTGTCATTCGTAACACATAAGACATTGGAACATTGGAGGAGTTAAACCGCTTCCCAATCGAAGCTTGTCCACGTAAGCGTGATTATATAGTAATAAAGAGAACAATAGAGCTCCCTAAAATCGGAAGCCACGCTTGCTCTCTAGGACTCCAAATCACTGGTTTCTTTTTCATTTTGTACCTCTAATTAATATACTTTGTTCTTTCCTTATGAAAATCTTTTGAGTTTTTATTTAGACTTATTACTTACCAAGTTAGGCAATTTTAGAGTATCCTGCTTAGTTGGATTTGATGCCCATTTGTCACCTCGAATTCACGATGGCCCCTTTTACAAAAGTACAATTAAATGTTGACTTTTGAGGACTGTATTTCGGACATACTCCCTTGCAGAATATACATTTGCGGCATACCCCGTGGAGTAACATTGTTGTTTGTCTTTCAGTTTTGTTTGCTACATGTTTAGAATATCGTGTTTTGTGTACTAGTTCCCTTTTCCCTCATTTGAACGTACCAGAACAAAGGCAAAAAAAATATATATTAATTATTATTTTAATAAAAAATTAAGAAAATATAATTATTTTGAATCAATTTACAAATTTATTACACTTAGTCCTCTAAACGCAACAAGTCGCGCCTCACACAAACACAATTTGTGGAAAGTCACGCTTCACACACATGCGACTCATCCTGTGATGACGTGAAACAAAAAAGTCAATAATTTGACCATAAAAAACTTCGAAAGACCATGACTTTCGACTGAGGTGTTTGAATCAGGTTTTTTTTTATTCCACATAACTTTTTCAAATCTACAAAATGACATTTCATTGAAGAAGATTTGGTCAAAAAAATTTCAAACACCCAAGTAATAGTCCATGTAATCAATTACATGAGTTCAAGCTTATCATAAAACATGGGAAGAATATAACTTTTGGCTCGGGAGTCCGAATCAGGTATTTTTTGTTATTTCACGTAACTTTTTGAGATCTGCGCACTGAAAAATTCCCACAGGATTATTTGTTATTGTTGGAAAGTAAAAATTTAAATAACATCATTCACAAAGATAAAATATGCCAAACAAGGCACAAGGAAGCAGTTTTTGTGAAAAAATTTTGACCAACAAGGATTTGCCATGGGTAGCTCTCGAATAGTTATATGGAATAAAAAATAGAGCACTTTATTTTGACACTCAAGTCAAAAGTTATTGCCTTTCGAAGTTTTACGGTAAAATATCTCAAATTCGAAAAAAATCCAATTTTTTTTTACCAAATCCCCTTCAATGACATGACATTGCGAAGATCTCAAAAACTTATGTGGAATAAAAAAAATACCTGATTCAAACACCCGAGTCAAAAATTTAACCTGATAAGGTTTTACGATCCAACTGTTGCCTTTTTTTTTGCCACGTGTCATTACACAGGCGCGATTTGTGGTGCCTGCGTGGAGCGCGACTGAATGTAATAGATCTGTAAATTGGTTTAAAATAATTATATTTTCATAATTTTTTATTAAAATAATAATATATTAATTTTTTTTGCCCATGACAAACAAAAAAAGTTATCATGGCAATTTTTTATTTCAAATGAAACCTTCTCATCGCAAATTTTTTTTAATATTACAATAGACAAGCGCATACTTTTTCAAACTGTATTCTTTTTTTTGGATAAAAAAAAAAGAATAAAAAATACAGTTTGAGAAGTATAACACTTGTCTATTGTAATATTGTAATAGACAAGTGTTACACTTTCTCAAACTGTATTCTATGCGTGAATATATGCTCTCCATCCCATATTGTTTATTTTCATAGAAAACACAAAAGTCCTTGATTTATCATTATATTATCTAATCATGAGTTTATGTTAAATTAGCAATTGAGTTTCACGTACATAAATTTTACTAAGAGTGCACTTTTTTATTTTTAAATTTCTCAACTAATTCATTAATTGATCCATTAATCTGATTGAGTCGGGCAGATCGTAACAAAATTTACACACATATTATATATATATATATATATATATATATATATATATATATAAGATTATTATTTCTATAATTGCTGAATGTACAACAATTAAATTTTGGGAATCATAAATCATGCAGTGAGTGAAAACATTAAATGTGAGGAATCAATGGTTAAGATTAATTGTTATACATACAGCAGTTACAAAAATAATTTTACCTATATATATATATATATAGGGTTTATCATCTATCATTTAACATGACCACAAAATTTTTCCTACACACACAATATTTTGTGGGGCCCGCAGCAAAAAAAAAATCGGCACGCAAAACGAATCTCTATAACATAACACAATCACTTTTCCTACAACATAACTCTTATAAAACCCATATATATATATATATATATATATATATATATATATATATATATATATATATATTAATGTAATATCATTATTTAAGATTTAGGAAACCACTCTCTAAGTTAATAAGAGTGGGATAGGTGGTTGTTGCATATTTTCATAGCATAGTATATTAAAACAGCTATCAAAATTAACAAAATACAAATTATATGAATAAAGGGTTTGTTTTTTTCTGAAGTTACTTTAGATAACTTTATCTAATGTTCATCAAAACGACGTCGTTTTGGGACGGAAATCATGGTATTTTTTGTAATTTTAATTTATTTCAGGGTTATAATAATCTTTATCACTCTAATTTTTTAATTTTTCAACTCCAAAACGACGTCGTTTAGATTAATATTAGATAAAATTATCTAAAGTAACATCGGAAACTTTTTTCCAATAATAGTTGCCTAAATTAACGGAATAGATCACGTTTATGTTTATGCAATGGTGTCGTGTTGCTAAAGTTTCAACCACGTTTATTCAAGTTTTGTCTTGTAATATAAGCAACATTTATTTTTATTTTTTTGGTATTCAATACACTTTAAACTGATTCGCGCACTCTCGAACCCATATTGGGGGTGGTTCTCAAAACAATATTTTCTACATTCCTAGAACTTGTACTTTAATAGTGACAATGATTTTTTTGGGGGCATAGTATATCAAAACAGTTGCCTAAATTAACGGAATAGGTCACGTTTAGGTTTATGCAATAGTGTCGTATTGCTAAACGTTTCAACCATTATTATTCAAATTTTGTCCTGTAATATAGGCAACGCTTATTCAATTGTTAGCGGATAGTATGCGCAATGATGAACTCTAAAAATTACTTAATTTTAAACTTTAAATAATTGTAAAATAAACATGGATTAACCGTGCATTAGCTTCTACTATATTGTGATTTGTGAGGCAAAAGATACCCGAGTCACATGGTTGTATCTACAATCTACTCCAAGCTAACTCCAAAGACACGTGTGTTCAAAGCCTACCACATGGTTATTAAAATCCAATTTCAAACTCAAATCCAAATACTAATTAGATCTAACAATTCCAAGGCATTTATAATGAAAGTGGGACATGGAATGCTGACTAATAAGGAGACTCTCGGGGCCAAACTTCTCAAGAATAAACATAAGGTGGGAGATGACTTACTGCCTCAGGTGAGAACATCTCAGAATGACAGTAACCTTTGGCTGCTCCTTGGCAATAATCTCTTAACAAATGAGCAAAGGAACCACAGACAAATGGGAAGTGGTGCATCTTGTCCTAGATGCTATTGTCCTATCCAAGATTGCTGCCATGTGATGCAGGACTGTTTCTAGTCCAAACAGGTCTTGTCCAATTTGGTTGATGTTCGTAATAACCATATGTTTTTTACAGGTAACATTCATGAACGGATAGAGCATAATCTTTGCAGTTCCTGTAATAAGAGACAAAAATAGAACTGGAACCTTGTCTTCGATGTCACATGTTGGATGTTGTGGCAAGCCAGAAACAATTTGGTGTTTAAAAGGGAAAATAGTACCCCTGAAGAATTAGTCCATAAGATCAGAAGGCACGTCCACAATGTTAGTCATGCTGATTAGGTACTACTACAAACATGAAATTCTTATTCACTGGTCTCCCCCTCCTAATATGGTTGAGTTAAAATTAACACAGATGGCTCTTGTACTCAGAATTAATGGATCAAAGAGTGGATGTGGATGAGTTATTAGAAACAGTGAGGGTAGATGGATGTTGGGTTTTACAAAGAAACTTAATCATGGGAATGCTCTGATGGCAGAATTATGGGAAGTTCTTGTTGGCCTGGAAGTTGCCTGGTGCCATGGATTTGGCAAGTTACACCTGGAGGGAGACTCAACAGTGGCTTTGAAAATGGTTGAATTGAAGAAGGTTGTGGCGATCATCATCCTCTGATCTCGCTAGTTAGAAGAATACAGGATCTTCTAAAGAATCCTTGGGAAGTTGTGATTTCTCATACATTCCGTGAAGGAAATGAGGTTGGTTGGCTGCAAATGTAAATTATTCTAGTTGGGAGACTAATATCATTGCAAACCACCCTGAGGGCTTTAGAAGTTTTTTGGAGAAGGATCTATTGGGTAGTTGTACCCCTAGGATGATCCACAGGTAGTTCTGTTCTATTGTTCCTTAGCTTTTAAAAAAAAAAAAAATCCAAATCCTAGGACTACTTTAAACATGACTTGACATATTCACTACTAAAAAAACAAAGAATAGCGACCGACAAAATCCATCCCTAAAATGCAAAATTCCATC